CACATTCTAGGTTACCAAAAAAATGTCTCTTGGAACTTAATAATGGACTACCTGTTAGCAATTGGGTTCATGGGGCAGCTCAATTAATTACCAAGTATGGGCTTTCAATGAATGAACTAGAAGGGCTAGACCATCCTGCAAGAAAGAAAGAAAAAATAACTCAATATTAGAACTTACTACACTTGCAGACTTACATACTACCTATGGGTCTTCATGTGCCCTTATATTACAGCCTCAGGCAATCCTGTGATCACCTGGATTATTTTGACAGTCTAACCTTTGTTCAGTTGCGTCGAGCTTTCACAGAACTGAGACTTAATATGTTTGATTCAGCTGAAAGAGATGGGAGGCTTAAGAAAGTCCCAAAAAATGAATGAAAATGCATAGCTGGTTGTCCCCACCCAGAGGACCTGATACATTACTTAATCTATTGTCTGTTACATAAAGATCCTAGGGAGCGTTTTATTTTACCTTTAATTGGAAATAGAGTATTTCTGAATTCCCAAGATAAGGTACTTTATCTCCTAATGGACATAGATAAATATGTGACCTGGCGTGTAGCCCTATTTGCCCTTGTTGCCAAAAAGACCAGGAAGAAATATATAGCAGAGATAGCTGTTCCTTGTAATGGGGATGACTTTAGTTAAAAGTGTTTAGCTGTTAATCTCAATGTATTTATGTTACATATTTCATATGCAATTGTTTAAATTTATTGTATATTGGTTTTATGGACATTTTATGTGTATTGTTTTATCGTTTTGGTCTTTGCAATGGCCATTGGCCAAAGCAATAAAGATTGATTCAGATTCACACACATACATTTTTCTTTTCAGGTATGGAAATCAGTCTACTTCAAGCAGAATGCTGTGACCACTCTTGTGATCACCAAGGCTATAACTAGGACCACTTTCATCAAGACCATTCTTTAGATTAATGAATCATATATTGAATACTGAGGAAAGTAAGAAGCTGCCATATACCAGAGCTACTTATTCCAGTATTGGATACTCTAAGATAACCAGTGTGGTGTAGTGGTTTGAGTGCTGGACTAAGATTCAAGGAGACCAAGGTTCAAATCCAAGCCATGGAAACTCACTAGGTGACCTTGGGCAAGTCACACTCTCTCAGTCTCAGAGGAAGCAAAGGGCAAAACCCCTTTGAACAAATTTTGACAAGAAAACCCTGTGATAGGTTCACCTTAGGGTCACATAAGTCAGAAATTACCTGAAGGCACACAACAACAACAACAACAACAACAACAACAACATTGCCTACTTTGACAGGCAGCAGGTCTACAAGCTCTCCTATTCCTTTCCTATTACAAGCTACAGGATTTTTCAGGGGTATATTTTCTCCCCCAACCCACAGTAACGTGATGATGGCTAATCAGGGACTGGATGGAGGCTGTGTGCTTGGGTAAAGCCAGAGTTAGGTGGAGCCACAGCTTCCTCAGAGCTTGGAACTGCAGTAGCATCTTCATCATCATCACCATCACCATTCTGCCAGGTAGGGACACAAGGCAGCTTACTACAGACAGAGCTAAAGTTACTTTTAACTGTTGTACATGGAAAAGTTACTTTTATGGAACAGTTTCTTTTGCAGACTACACATCTTTGTTGTTGTTAACTGCCCTTGAGTCAATCTCGACTTATGGCGACCCTATGGATGAGACGTCTCTAAGACCCTTGTCCTCAACTGCTCTGCTTAATTCCTGCAAGCCCATACTCATGGTCTCCTTAATAGAGTCCAACCATCTGGCATGTGGCCTTCCTCTCTTCCTACTTCCCTTCACCTTTCCCAGCATTACTGTCTTTTCCCATGAGTCCTCCCTTCTCATGATATGTCTGAGGTATGACAGTCTCAGTTTGGTCATTTTGGCTTCCAGGGAGGTTTCCGGCTACAGCTGACTAAAGTACTAAGAGGATGATCCAGACACTGTAGTTTCCACTTCAACAATGATTTTCTTCAGAGAGAACTCATGGAGTTTGAAATTTAAAGACCAGGTGGGAACTGGCATCTTTAGGGTATTTAGACCCATAATTACTGAGAGGGGAAAGAAATCATGACAATAACTCACTTTTTCCCTGCTTTAACTGCATGGAAAATGTGGGGGAATACAATTAAATAGACAAAGGTACAAATTCCATTAAAACCACCAAATCAATGAGATCAGTAATTGATCAAAAGGGTCTATCCACATGAGGAATACCAACCGAATTTAGGCCAAAGGTCCAAAAATGAACCAGGTTTTAAAAAATGTGGCTATTACACAGTAGCCACTTCAGATTATTTCCACATAGCACCACTGTGTGGGGTCTGCTACACAGTTATATTAAGTGATTTTCCCAGATAGCAATAGCAATAGCAAGTACATTTCTATACCATTTATCAGTACACTTAAGCACTCCCTAAGTGATTTACAATGTGTATGTTTATTGTCCCCAACAAGCTCAGTACTCATTTTAGCAACCTATGGAAGGATGCAAGGCTGAATGGACCTTGGAGTCCTGGGGATTGAACTCACAACCTTGTGGATCTGAATGGCTGAAGTAAAGGCATTTAACCACTGTGCCACCAGGGTTCAGTGTCTCTCTCAATTTCAATCATTCTTTCCCACATAGATAAAAAATGAGCTTCATTTTTTAAACAACTAATGTTGTTTATTTATTTAATAGGGATTAAATCAATGAAAAATACTGTACAGTCATCTTATTTATATATTTATTTGATGCCCTCGAAACTTTCCTAGGGGCCCAAGATGGTTATGTGCTGAAAAATGATAAGATCTACAGGGATCAAAGGAACCTGCCTTATACTGATTGATACCATTGCTCTTTCTAAGTCATACTGTCTACTGGCAGACAGCGAGGCTGGAATCCTGTTGGTGACATAATACTCCTGTAACCTGGTATTCTGTGACCACATGTGCTTTTACGTGCATTGCACAAAGAGGTATTTAGTACTTCCTTACACAACACTCCCACAAGTCAGCTTCAAAGCACTGGTATATGTTGTTGTCCTCCCCACACATACTGCCATTTATCAGTTAAGGAGAGGCGGCAAAGCAATTTCATTACCAGTAGGGGGTGAAAGGTGTCAAGATGGCATCCAGTTGCAGTTCCACAGCCGGGACAAAAGAGTGGCTGTGTCCTCCCACTCTGCCAGATCTCCAGCACACCTGCTAAAAAATCCAACAGCTTCTTACTTCCAGACGGTAAGACCTATTTCACTGTGGAAGACACTGATGCCTCGCAGAGTGGTAAAGTCTCCCTTGGAGGTCTTTAAACAGAGGCTAGATGGCCATCAGTCAGGGTGCTGTCATTGTGAGTTCCTGCATGGAAGAATGGTTTTGGACTGGATGGCCCTTGTGCTCTTTTCCAACTATGTTTCTATTATTCTTACCTGACCCAGCTGAGAATCAGAAACAAATGCTGCCCAGTTACTCCTCCTATCCTCTGGACATAAAATGGCCACAGAGGTGCAGTCAGATTCTGGGAAGCTGCTTTCTCTGTGGGGTATAAGGGATAATTCAGTAGAACTGTGTAGACAAAACATTATGCTGTCAACCCCCACTCCATGTAGGGTAGTAGCCTAGGTTGCCAGGGTTTCAGAAAAAAGTATTTACCAACCTTGTCTGGAAATTGAAGCTGGGACCTTTTGCACATGAAGCCAGTCTTCTGCTGCTGAGTTATGTACCCAACCAAATGGCAAACTATTGTACATGAATGGTTCCTTCGAGGATAACACCTATCAGATATAGCTATGGAATGAGCATATAAGCTTTAAGGACAATGTTTGTTTAGATTAGAGGTAGACAGCACATGATCTGTAGCCTTGCTGTTGAACATATGGCCCTGACTCATTGGATTTTACAGTAGGCAAAACTGGGGGGGGGACTTTTTCCCTTTAATTTTTCTGCTGCAACACCAGCAACAACAGATATATACGCACTGCAGAATTATAGCAGATTGAACATATTTTAACTGCTATGTCTCCATCCTACAGCATTCTGGGATTTGAAGTTTGATGAAGCACCAAGGATTCCACAGAATAGAGACATGACAATTAAAGTAGGATCAAACTCTTATAAATGTGTAGTTTGGATACACTCATAGTGGCCCAAAGGTCTTAAAAACAGGCACTTCTGGTTTAAAAACAAGACACACAAAGGCAAAGGAAGTAAAAGTGACAGTTTTCAAAGGTGTTGTGGACATCATTATATACATCACAGCATCAATCAGTAAAGTTCAGTTGAACTTTTTGCCTCTACTACCTGACATTTTTCCACAAATGTATGAGAGGGAACTCAAATTTTCCTCATTGTTGACTTTTCCTTTCTGTGAATATGATCTCATCATATACATACATATACACAACACTTTTCCCAACGGACAGCTAAGTGTTCACATACAAACCTCATGCCAGGTTATCTTCCATTACTCATGCATTAGTCATCTTTAAAAAGCTCAGGCAATTTACCAGCAAGGTGCATTTGATTTTTTTCATGAAAACTGAACAATAAATTTGAAACATGTTGTTAATGCTATGACAGAGGCATATAAATACCAGAATGTAGAATTATCCAATAAAGCTGAATGATTGTAAGTTCATAATCAACCAAAAGAAGACACTGAAATTCAGTGCTATTAGTTTTAGGCTGCTTTAAAAGTAAATAAATGGAAGAAGAAACTATCAATGGCAACTATTGGTGGCAATGAAGTACCTTCAGGAACAGAGGCATCATGATTCAGAAAATCATGTTCTGGAAAATAGAAGCAGGATAATACTATTGCTCTCACATCTAGGACAGATGGTGGCTTCCATATCAGTGGTGCACATAATCTGCTTTAGGCTTTTGCCAGATCACTAAAGGAGCTATCCAAGATGATGAAGACTGTTCCCCAAATAAGTTCAACATCTCGGCTAACTCCTTAAAATTTATTAATAAAATCACCCCATTAGCATGGAAGCCACCAGAAGCCATTGCCTTGCATCCTGCTTGATTCCTTACCATGGGCATCTAGTTGGTCACTGCATGATACAGGGTGCTACTCTTTGCATCCTTGATCTTATCCATCAGAATTCTCCTCATGCTCTTTTTTTTTTTTTTTTTTGAAATGACATACTAATATTTATGCTAAAATTACCTTCAAGGATTTCTTTCAAGCACACCTGAAGGCATTCCTTGTGCTTTAAGAGCTGTTGCTGATGTTGCTCTGTGACCTCCTTTGCCAGGAGAAGGACACTGTGTGGCATCAAAATAATCTTTTCTGTAGTGCTTCCTGATCATGGAATACCTCCATAGTGGTATAACTGGAACCAACACAACAGTCTTTTTGATTTTAAGTTAAACATTTATTTTGCCCAAGAATGTTGAGTGTTGGTCTGTTTTTTATACTTGTTTTGAGGTGGTTTTTTACTTGATTTTTTTTTAAATGTGACTAAGAGCAGACACTACCTCAAGTCTTGAGAAGATGACACCACAGGGGGAAGAGACGCAGGTAATTCTGTAATTCTGGGAGACTTCAACATCCCACTCGAGACCAGTTTAACAGTTGCGGCTCGGTAGTTCATGGATTCCATGACAGTTTCAGGGCCAATACATTCTGCAGGGCATACTCTCGATGCGATCTTTAGTATGGAATAGGCATATCCATGGGCGGAGGTAATAAATACCTCCACACTGTCATGGACAGATCATTTCCTGGTCAAGGTTGGATTCAGAGTCACTGCTCACCCCACCGGAGGGTGGATGACCTATTAGAATGGCCCACCCTCGAAGGCTAATGGAGCCAATTGGATTCCAGAGAGCCTTGGA